AGAGCTCGTGACATTCGCTTTTTCAGGTGAATTTGTTTTTAAACTTTTAAAACATTTGACCTGTATGACCTTAAATAAGGTTCAATGTCATATATATATATTCCACTTCGTAGTACCACATGCAAGTAAGCACAGTCCCAACTATAATGGGTCATGGTTATTGCAGTTTAGTGATAAAGTCGCTTGAGCATTTATCAGCATCGATCGCGTCGTGCCACATGGAAGCCCCGTATGTAAAATGACAATAGAAAACTTCGTAGACAAAGTGCGCTATATCATTTGTCGTTTATAACAGTAGACAATGTGCGCTAAACCATGTGTCGTTTATTACAGTAGACAAAGTGCGCTAGACCATGTGTCGTTTATAACAGTAGACAAATTGCGCTATACCATGTGTCGTTTATAACAGTAGACAAAGTGCGCTAAACCATGTGTCGTGTATAACAGTAGACAATGTCGCTATACCATGTGTCGTTTATAACAGTAGACAAAGTACGCTAAACCATGTTGTTTATAACAGTAGACAAAGTGCACTATACCATGTGTCGTTTATAACAGTAGACAAAGTGCGCTATACCATGTGTCGTTTATAACAGTAGACAAAGTGCGCTATATCATGTGTCGTTTATAACAGTAGACAAAGTACGCTAAACCATGTGTCGTGTATAACAGTAGACAATGTCGCTATACCATGTGTCGTTTATAACAGTAGACAAAGTACGCTAAACCATGTGTCGTTTATAACAGTAGACAAAGTACGTTATATCATGTGTCTTTTATAACAAGAATATGTTATATATCCCAAATACCAAATAGCACTTGTTATGCCCATGTGGACTCGAATATGGGTATATGCCCCTTTTTTTTCGAAAATTGTGAATTCAAATTTAAATTTGATTTGCACATTTGTAACTATAAAGTAGTTTGAAGGCAAAACAGTGAAACACAACACAGTGAAATACATACATATACATGTAGAAAAGTCGAAACAGAAGGGGCGTCCGCAACACCTAGACTCCGTGACGACTTTGAGTACCTTGACCGGTAATGTGACAGGGTAGGGACTACTACGTCCAGGTCCACCGTTCGGTGAGGTGTTTATAGGCTTGCCCCATCATTTGGACACAGGCTTCCTATTGGGGCTCTTATTAATCAGAGATTAACAGCGTGTTTATTATCCCTTTGCATGCTTTCTTCCTTCAAATGTAAGGATGTTGTAGCAAGTCGGATACATATCTATGAGACTATTTATGACGCATATACTCTTAAAAGTAGGTAGTTTACCGGCTGTAAAACCCGGCGGGGTTTTCAGGATTTCAACGAAATTCGTTAGACGAACTAGAAGCATGCCGGGAAAAACGACATGCCACGTGCTCAGGCTGGTCCCGCCCTGTACAGTCTTCGCCTGTATACCTATTCAATGACTTACAAATTCCTTCACGGGTACTCGGGGTAACCTGTTATTCACTAGAGAAACGGGAAGTGATTCAACAGAAACAATCACCAGGAAACTATTATATATGACGAACAGAGGTACAATAGCTATGACATCTAAAGGTTGTTGTTATATACAGACACTTGTGTGTGGGTTACACGAGGCAATCATTTAAGGTTAATATCCGACAAACAATATTGTATTACATTGAGTATCGATCGTCAGTTTTACTGTTTTGGGTTTTACAACTGTGCGACATAATTACAGCCCAATGTATGGACGCTGTTCAACAGTCAATGCCATCTGGTCTAGACACCATGGCAGCGATGTTATTGTTTGGATTTATTGGGAAATATCACAGATTTCCATAAAAATAATCGGCGTAAAAGAGCTCTAAATGAGTATATAATGTAGTGAACTGGGTATATAATATAGTTAGGAGTATTGATTTCAATAGATCGCGACGTTGGATATGTTGCAGATTCACATTTGAATATATATGATATACACTTTCTTTATACGATTGATATAAAAGTAGTTCTTTGTAAAGTTAGTTAGCTTTCCATCAGCCGTGTGTTATTCCGCAAAATAAAACATCCCTTCAGCCTAAGTCCCTCGGCAGTTTTCGAGGCTGTAAACTAAATCCCTCGACAATGCTCGTATGATCCTCGCAGAAATGACAGACCGATGTAGTCAGAGGTCAGCGGATCATGCACGTCCCGTCGAGTTGATCTCGAAACTGAGACAACTGTACATGTGCAGGCGATAGGGAAGGAGTAAATACGACTCCCGATCATGCAAACGAGAACTCCAGCAATATACATCTAGTAACCTTGTAATGAAGCATGTGTATTCACGGAATTAACCGAGTAAAACTTGTAAATAGTTCACGGTCGTCACGGTGTTTTGATCGACACCATAGATAAACGTGACACCCATTAATCAGCCAGTAAATATTGATTGATTCGTCCCACTATACTTTGAAAAATTGAGAATGATGAGTATGAGGAGAGGGATGCCTTCCATACAGTGATTCGATATACAGTTTACCTATACATGTATCGCCATTATCGACGTGCTATCAATATTGTTACATAACGTATAGGTCTTTCTAGCTAAAACCTGCATTTCAAAGGTAATACTTTGGACATCGCGTGTCATAATATGTTTTCCTTTGATTTTCTCCTTTGTAAGAAAACAATATCTGTCATAAACGTGTGATCATATATACTATATTTAAAGGAGATTTCATGCCTAGCACCAAACGTTCCCGAGAACACACTTCCTCCACCAGGTTCTCACGAAAACACAGACAAATATGGAAACAAAAGTCTCACAACGTTAAACGAAAGTAACGAGAAATTTAAAAACAACAAGACTAGAACGATAAGAAATAAAAAATAACCTCGGCAAGCGCAGCAGGTATTGTGACAAGGCGCTACCAGTACAGCAGGTATTGTGAAAAGGCGCTACCAGTACAGCAGGTATTGAGACAAGGCGCTACCAGTACAGCAGGTATTGAGACAAGGCGCTACCAGTACAGCAGGTATTGTGAAAAGGCGCTACCAGTACAGCAGGTATTGTGACAAGGCGCTATACCAGTACAGCAGGTATTGTGACAAGGCGCTATACCCGTACAGCAGGTATTGACAAGGCGCTACCAGTACAGCAGGTATTGTGACAAGGCGCTATACCAGTACATCAGGTATTGGGACAAGGCGCTATACCAGTACAGCAGGTATTGTGATAAGGCGCTATACCAGTACAGCAGGTATTGTGACCAGGCGCTACCAGTACAGCAGGTATTGTGACAAGGCGCTATACCAGTACAGCAGGTATTGTGACAAGGCGCTACCAGTACAGCAGGTATTGTGACAATGCGCTACCATTACAGCAGGTATTGTGACAAAGCGCTATACCTGTACAGCAGGTATTGTGACAAGGCGCTATACCAGTACATCAGGTATTGTGACCAGGCGCTACCAGAACACCAGGTATTGTGACAAGGCGCTATACCCGTACAGCAGGTATTGACAAGGCGCTACCAGTACAGCAGGTATTGCGACAATGCGCTACCATTACAGCAGGTATTGTGACAAGGCGCTATACCAGTACAGCAGGTATTGTGACAAGGCGCTATACCAGTACAGCAGTTTTTTTTGTTTTAAACATATTTTATTGCCTTTTTTAACAAAATTTGAAGATGGCAGAACTACGTAAATAAGCTATGTATTATAAATTAATTAATCAGTATTGTGACAAGGCGCTATACCAGTAGTGTAACAACTAGCATGTACCATGACAATAGAGCACGTTCATTGTGGACCACATTCAGTCCCCACTTCAATTTATCAATTTTTTCGCCATATATGTAGATGCATAAAAATGAGCAATAACTGCATATACGATTATTCATTATTACCACTGGTAACCGCAGTGGACCTCCTTGCATAACACCAGGTTGAGTGACGGGGTATCCTAACAAAATGACAGATAAATGTCACAAGCGAGTGTAATATTTTAAAATGAATTATGATAGTGTGTAGTGTATGAAAATACCGTTATTTTGATACTCAACATGTCATATTGATATACATGAAGTAAGCGTAGTGATACGTTTAATTAGAAAAACATGCAAAATTTTCACAAAATTTAAATGATATCAAACATGGCAACTTGCCTATGTATAGTTACAATGGCAGTCTATATATATATAAGTGTTTAACAACTTTCCATATACATTTTCTGTCTACTGAATCCTTTTTTGGTAATATCAAAACCAGCTAGTAAAATACTGTTTAGCATGCCTTACATGACCAATGCACAATTTCACATTATCATGAAGTTTCTATTATCAATGTTTATGATGGTAAATACCGATAAATTTTCTGTTCTTTGTATCATAACAAAACTTAACATAATTGAGGTACCATACCATATTTGCGGTCCGTGTACCATTGGTGTTCGTAGTTTGTAGTAGCCTTGCACAAGTCCGTATATTTATTCATCATTAGGAGAAGGTCAAGTCTAGTTGATTGGACACAGATAAACAACACTTACAAAGCCGATACACAATGCCTTGTCGACACGATTTAAACGGAAACAAATACTTCAGCATGTGAAACTAATTAACGACGGTTTTTTTGTTTCTATGTGTAAACACACAGTAGACATGGTAGGTTAATGATCATGAAGTACTGTCAGTTAGTGGTGTATGCTGCCGTGATGCACACCAAGTAAACGGAATATTTGTCCATTGGTTCGCATGTATTCTGTTCCATGTAAACCGATTATGTATCTGAGCATGTGGCAAGGTATATCAGTCGATGCCATTATGATATAGGGTTGCAGGTGTTTTATTGCCGGCGTGTCGAGAAAGTGTACAGAGTAGGTCATATATAATGCAAAGCTAACATAGGTCTAGATAGTCTACAGACAGTGACTGGAACATTGAAATGTAATATCGATTTATACTTCAGTCGTTCATTGTTTTGCAGTGTTAGGCGACAAATCATATACAGAATACATATCTTTATACATATGAAGCCGATTGAATACAACTCACCTGAAGGATCTGCAGGTGTAGCTCCTGATCAGGTAACACATATATATTATGTGACCCCGGAAACAGGTGACTGTTGGTCGGTTCGAAGATGTCTGTAAACGGCGTCCGATGTATTCCGAAAGCTTAAAGTTTGACCTACACAAAACAATGTTTGCAAGTAGCTATAAACTACACAAATTGTCCTGGAGTGGCCATGGTGTCCCCCACACGATGTCAGTCGAGTTTTCTTTGCCCTAAAGTACGAACACCGTGTTCCGTACCTGTATGTGTGTGTACTATGTAGATGTGTAGTAACGTTATTGACCCCGAGACGCGTTTGCCGAAAGACGGTTTGGCGATCTTTATAAATATATGGGTATATTTTATACACGGGGATACATCTCGCATGCTTTATAAAACTAAACACCAAAACAAACAAACCGTGACAAATCTCACCAGGTCACAAGGCAGACGATCACTTCGCTATTAGTAGTATACATAGCGAGTATGTTTTGCATGGCGTGACACCGTAGTATCGGGTCATGCTCTCGCGTGGTATACTACTACTATGTACTACTACTTCGGTAGCTGCGATTGTGACTATAGTTCATTCCAAATATGTGATTAAACACCTGAACGCATAAAGTAACCAACAGCAGTACATACGTATAAACTGTAAAATTATAGGCCAATATAATGTCTATAAAGATACAGACAACAGGACGTACATAGACTATACAGATACAGACAACAGGACGTACGTACACTATAAAGATACAGACAACAGGACGTACATACACTATAAAGATACGGAAAACAGGACGTACGTAGGCTATAAAGATACAGACAACATAACGTACGTACACTATAAAGATACAGACAACAGGACGTACATACACTATAAAGATACAGACAACAGGACGTACGTAGGCTATACAGATACAGATAACAGGACGTACATACACTATAAAGAAACAGACAACAGGACGTACGTACACTATAAAGATACAGACAACATGACGTACATACACTATAAGATACAGACAACAGGACGTACATACACTATAAATATACAGACAACAGGACATACATACACTATAAAGATACAGACAACAGAACGTACGTACACTATAAAGATACAGACAACAGGACGTACGTACACTATACCGATACAGACAACAGGACGTACATACACTATACAGGTACAGACAACAGGACGTACATACACTATAAAGAAACAGACAACAGGACGTACGTACACTATAAAGATACAGACAACATGACGTACGTACACTATAAAGATACAGACAACATGACGCACATACACTATAAGATACAGACAACAGGACGTACATACACTATACAGATACAGACAACAGGACGTACGTAGACTCTAAAGATACAGACAACAGGACGTGCATACACTATAAAGATACAGACAACAGGACGAACATAGACTCTAAAGATACAGACAACAGGACGTACATAGACTCTAAAGATACAGACAACAGGACGTACGTACACTATAAAGAAACAGACAACAGGACGTACGTACACTATAAAGATACAGACAACAGGACGTAAATACATTATGAAGATACAGACAACAGGACGTACGTAGGCTATACAGATACAGACAACAGAACGTACATACACTATAAAGATACAGACAACAGGACGTACGTAGGCTATAAAGATACAGATAACAGGACGTACATACACTATAAAGATACAGACAACATGACGTACGTACACTATAAAGATACAGACAACATGACGTACATACACTATAAAGATACAGACAACAGGACGTACATACACTATAAAGATACAGACAACAGGACGTACATACACTATAAAGATACAGACAACAGGACGTACATACACTATAAAGATACAGACAACAGGACGTACATACACTATAAAGATACAGACAACAGGACGTACATACACTATAAAGATACAGACAACAGGACGTACATACACTATAAAGATACAGACAACAGGACGTACATACACTATAAAGATACAGACAACAGGACGTACATACACTATAAAGATACAGACAACAGGACGTACATACACTATAAAGATACAGACAACAGGACGTACATACACTATAAAGATACAGACAACAGGACGTACATACACTATAAAGATACAGACAACAGGACGTACATACACTATAAAGATACAGACAACAGGACGTACATACACTATAAAGATACAGACAACAGGACGTACATACACTATAAAGATACAGACAACAGGACGTACATACACTATAAAGATACAGACAACAGGACGTACATACACTATAAAGATACAGACAACAGGACGTACATACACTATAAAGATACAGACAACAGGACGTACATACACTATAAAGATACAGACAACAGGACGTACATACACTATAAAGATACAGACAACAGGACGTACATACACTATAAAGATACAGACAACAGGACGTACATACACTATAAAGATACAGACAACAGGACGTACATACACTATAAAGATACAGACAACAGGACGTACATACACTATAAAGATACAGACAACAGGACGTACATACACTATAAAGATACAGACAACAGGACGTACATACACTATAAAGATACAGACAACAGGACGTACATACACTATAAAGATACAGACAACAGGACGTACATACACTATAAAGATACAGACAACAGGACGTACATACACTATAAAGATACAGACAACAGGACGTACATACACTATAAAGATACAGACAACAGGACGTACATACACTATAAAGATACAGACAACAGGACGTACATACACTATAAAGATACAGACAACAGGACGTACATACACTATAAAGATACAGACAACAGGACGTACATACACTATAAAGATACAGACAACAGGACGTACATACACTATAAAGATACAGACAACAGGACGTACGTACACTATAAAGATACAGACAACAGGACGTACATACACTATAAAGATACAGACAACAGGACGTACATACACTATAAAGATACAGACAACAGGACGTACGTACACTATAAAGATACAGACAACAGGACGTACATACACTATACAGATACAGACAACAGGACGTACATACACTATACAGATACAGACAACAGGACGTACATACACTATACAGATGCAGACAACAGGACATACGTAGACTATAAAGATACAAACAACAGGACGTACATACACTATACAGATACAGACAACAGGACGTACGTAGACTATAAAGATACAGACAACAGGACGTACATACACTATAAAGATACAGACAACATGACGTAAATACACTATAAAGATACAGACAACAGGACGTACGTACACTATACAGATACAGACAACAGGACATACGTGCACTATACAGATACACATATTTACTATTTTACATTAGTCGAATAAATAAAGTATTTCGAAATCCTTTTTAGTTATTTTTAAGCATGTATTTACAAACATTTTATATCTCAGGTATATACTTTATCAAAAGATGACTTGATAGTATGCTCCTCAATAAACGATTATCTGAATGTTCCAGATATGAACTTCTTGTTGTAAGTATACGTACTTATCGAACCAAATACAATTATATGAAACGACTTATAAGACGGTATACGATAGATCAGGCTACACCGTGACCTAAACCAGTTAACCAATCAGCGCTCCTCTAGCCGTATCGCACGAGGTTACACCTGGTTGAGGTCATCAGAACGTTTTTGGGATTTTAATATGTCAGTCAAAAGGAGGTCAAGTTCTAACACTTCAGCCCTTTTAACGCCTCTTCGTTGTCAAGGGCAGATTATTGACCGTTTCTGCAGCTTAAACAAATACTGAAAAGGGGGATCAACTCTATTGGAAATCAACATTAGATGCGCCGTGCACTAAGATTTTCTGTTCTTTCCTCTTTTCCTACACAAAGGTATATATTGGTACATGAATTTCCCCAAACATTTATAAAGGGACTAGGGTCCTCCCTGTGTTCACCATCGTTATCAGTGTCGTCTTAAAAACCCCTTCCATAAAAATGTTTGGGAATACAAACTCCAGGGCCGTTTTTCGCTATCCAAACGGTTGAACCGGTTGGACCAGAGTTGTTCGTTTATGAAATAATGTCGAACCCAGTAATCTGATGTTGTTTTTAAGCAAGCCTTGACAAATCAAAGGCCTGCATAGTTTTATACCCGAAAATGTAAAATCCGGACGCACCGGCTATTCCAGATACTGTAACCTATTGATTTACGTCTTTATCATATCATAATTACGTCTAAGTGTGTCCTTTATCTTTTATCTATTAAATATGACCACACACCAGGTTATGTATAGTTAGATAAAAACACAGACCTTATAACTTCATGTCGAAGTCTCCAAACTAGCAAGAAATAGATTCATTGTTGTGTGTATAGGTCTACGTGTATTACTTGAGGTTGGTTGTGTTTACGTCTGTATAATCAGTTGTATTGTCTATGGAACTTTAGCAAGTTTAATATGCTCGTATCTCATGTAGACTTGCTCAAGTTAAAAATATATAGATAAGAAAAAAGTAACGATCATCAAGACAAATTGATTCACGAACAGCGAGCGATCGATGTTCTTTATGTGTTAAAAAAACGCCAGCTATATTTATCGAAATCGTTTCTCCGCAAATATTAACGAGAATATTGTCGGTACGTGAAATAGCCGAGAATCCTTAGAGCACTTCAGACGTAATTGAACTGATCCTGGTCTCTTTAGCCCCGCTCTGTGTGACCAGAGTCGTGATATTTTTTTCCATAATCAATGGTTTATTGACTGGCCTACATCAATGGCTATTCAGCTATATAATCTGACATACCTCACGGCCATTATGTATATGTGGTTTTTTTTTTTATATATAATGGAAGGTAATAAGCGCCGGTGAGCGGTTCAGGCTGTCAGCGTTAAACATCGTTCATATTTGGGAGTGTGAGACACGTACAGACGTGTTACGGACTTGTAATGTTGTGCACACGTAACGCTGTATAATTACAGGAAAATATAAACTTTATCAAAGGAAACAAGTTTATCATTTTAATCGTGCTCAATGGCTTGGACAGTAGCGCGTATAGGGGGTTCTGAATGTGGGAGGAAACCAGCCAGAAAACATGGACAGGTGACCCATGTCTTGTCAAGTCCGATCGGGAAATAGAACACCGGCTGTCTTGGTGAAAGGCCAGCGCGCTATCCACTGTGCCACCAGATCACCGATATAGAATAATGCATTTCACATCTTCCGAACAGTGATCACGTCCAAGCTCAGTAACTACACGTAACCAATACTCTATACGTATCTATTGTCATCTTCCTGAGTCCATACCCAAATCTTATAGTTGTTGTGAACTCCTGTAACAATACTGTCATAGGTCTAGGCCTACTTCGGTCGAAGAATCTTAATTCTAGCTTTAAATTAATTCAGAAATAATAACTACAAATAAAAAAAATGTAGGATAAACAAGCCGATGGAAAGCCGAACAAAGCA